CAGTTACTGGCTGACTATCCACCATTATCTCAAACTCAGTGTATTCAAAATGCCTGAGCCCTGTCTCCTCTCCAGCTTTCCTGATTCCTTCAATATTCTGCCATTTGCCAAACACTCAAACTAGAAACATCCAAGCATCTTGCTCCATGGCCCACACTCAGCCAGTCTCTATCAGCTCACACCCAGTAATTATCTTGGACTCACAGTTGCCCCACTTCACTGGGGGGTCTTTCCCCCACTATCCACCTCTCTTAAGTCAAACTTTTTCTATGCAATGAGCTTCAGCAACTCCCAGTCTTAGGGAATGTGAAGATCTTACTGGAGCTTTCACACAGTCTGCTTTCTCCTCTGCCTGTAGTTCCTTATTGAGCCACTGCCCAAAGAGACCTTTGCTTTGGTCAGATTCTCTTACAACAGGCTGAAGGATGCACTGAGGACAGACCAGTGTTGCCTAGAGGCAAGTTTCCTTTGCTTTTTTTTTTTCTAGGTACTGAGGGGTGCTTAATCACTAGGCCACAATCCCAGCCCCCTTTTTATATTTTATTTAGACACAGGGTTTCATTGAGTTGCTAAGTGCCTTGCTAAGTTGCTGAGGCTGGCTTTGACCTCGCAGTCTTCCTGCCTCACCCTCCTGAGCCATTAGGATTACAGGTGGGTGCCACCACACCTGGCTCCTTCACTTTTAGAAATGCCCTGTCTCAGCAATTCTGTGCTGAAACTAACCAACACTCTGTTTTCTCCAATTTGCTAGCCCACAGGTTTCTATGCTTAGACCCAGAACTCACCCCTACCTCTGCTTTAGCATGAGCTCAGCTGCTTCTTTGGGATGGTTTGTGTTGAGCCTGGATTTGCCCTTGGGGCTTTGTGCTTAGCTGGATTTACTCACTGTGGCAACTGCTCCCAGGTCATCACTGTATTTGTGGTGACCCAAGCTGTGGCATAAATCTTCCTTTTTATTAGGGAAACACATCATTCTCATCCTTTTAGGTATGTTTACAGTCAAGTTTTTTGGAATGCAATGCTGAAATGCGTTTCCCTCATCTTTTAACTATCTAAGTACATCAATTTAAAAAGCACAGCCTAAGCTTCAACTCCTTTGCTTATAAAATTTATCAGCACAGACACCTCTGCTGTGAAACACTATAGCACAAGGGCCCAAATTCCCTCATTTAACACTGAACTACACTTTTTTTGGCACTTGCTGCTAGTTCACAATTTTCAGTTTTATCTCCCCAATTATATAGTCTAATCTCCCCAAGAATAAAAACCATGATGGATATTCCGGTATTTCCCTGTAGGGCCTACCTTGGCAGTTCCACTGTAAGTGCTGCACCAGAACAAGCTGGCTAATGATTTTCAAAGGACTCAAATATCTATTGTTTGTCCAGAACCTCTTGAATTCAATAGATGACAACTTCCAATGACACAGCTTGGATCACCACCATCTCCCTAGGAAATTGTGGTTCATTAACCTTACTGGAGCCAGGCCTAAACACTGTTGTTATATAGTTATAAATAAACTAGAAATACTGGGGTAGAGGGAACCAACAGAATTTAAAAGAACTGAGATTCTAGATAGGGCAGAGGGGTGGGAGGGAAAGGCTGGGGGCAGGAGGTTAGCAAGGATGGTGAAATGTGATAGACATCATCATCCAAAGTACATGTATGAAGACATGAATTGGTGTCAACATATTTTATATACAACCAGAGATATGAAAAATTGTGCTATATACATGTAATAAGAATTATAATGCATTCCACTGTCATTTTTTTAAATCAATAAAAAAGAACTGAGATTCTAAAGATAAAGCCATAGATTAAAAATATGACATGACGGGGAAAACTTATCCACCAAAAAAAAAAGTATTTGTGATGACAAAAAAAATGTAAATATTGTTGTTCTTTATTTTTTAATTTTTTTGTGGTGGACTAAATCCAGGGCCTTGTGTGTGCTAGGCAAGTGCTCTACTCCTGAGAAACATTCCTAGCCCATGTGAGCATATTGGATGTGCAGGCATTAATTATGGCTTGGGATTTCTGGAAGGCTATACCCTAGTAGAGAATTTCCTTTGAGATTGTAGTTAAAAGTTTATTCATATTCAGAGTATGACTAATAATTCACTTTTTTAATGTCATAGTTATTTCCTGGGTACACAAACATGGATGAAATAAAACTAAAATGAAACCATGGAAACAAAGCAATTTGAGAAAGAAAAAACAACTCTAAGTGAATGAGATGCCAGCTTCCTCTGGAACAGACCAGCCAGTCTAGTTTCCTGGCTTTGTGCCCCAGCCAGGCTTCCATTGTGCCCAGGAGCTCCAGGGCTTCACCTTTCCATTTTAAATGTATTGCATCTTTCTCTATAAGATAAGAGCAGAGGGCATGGGTGGCTCTGATATTGGGCTATAGGCTGTAGAAGAAATATGTGTGCTCTGCTTTGCCTGGAATGGGAGCAATAATTATATTGGGGAAGATCATTTTCATACCTCCATCTTCCCACCAGAAAATTGTGCAGAGGTTCAAATAAACCAGTTCTAGAAAATCATTTTAACGCCTGTCAGGCCTTGCTTCTTGTTATCATTTGAATGTCTGTTCCCTCTAAAACTCCTATTGAAATTTAATTGCCACTGTAACTATATTAAAAATTCAGATATTTGAGAGATGATTTGGTCATCAGGATTCTGCCCTCATGCATGTATTACTATAGAAGAAGGCTAATATTACTATAGAAGAGTAAATTTATTTATCTTTTGTCTCTTTGTCGTTCAATCTTAGATGACCTAAGGATATAATAAGGGCACTACCTGGGAATCAGAATGGCTAAACCCTCTGGAGTCTTGATATTGGACTTCCCAGACTCCAGATCAGTGACGCAGTAAATATTCTAGTAACCATATAGTTATTTGTATGGTTTTATGTTTTCATTTTGTATTGTTTTTGAGCTGAAGTTTCACCATGGTGGTGCCCAGGCTGGTCTTGAACTCCTGGGCTCAAGTGATCCTCCTGCCCCAGGTCCCAAGTATCTGAAGTTAAGGCATTTTCCACTGCATCATAGGCTTGTAATGAAGAAGAAAAAAGAAAGGTGAAATAATTATGCATTAAGGACAATACCACTCAATACATTAACTAGAGTAGCTTGACATAAAGAAAAGTGTTCTGAATTCAGATCCTCTCTCTGTAAACAATAGCTCTTTGATCTTGCACAAGTCATTTCACTTGGGCTCAAGTCTCCTTCTAAAAAATTAAACCATACTTCATTAGTTCACCAGGCTGTTATGAAGATTTAAGGAGATAATATTAAAACATGCTAAGAAAAATAGTAATGAAATAAATATTTCTTTATTTGGAAAGCCAATTGCTATCACAAGATTTAATATTCAAAAGTTACAGTTATTAGAAAATACTATTAGGTTTTATTTTGGATATTGACTGTGTTCTTCTTTAGGCCTTATAATTTAGGGCAAATCAGCATTGGAATAATTTGTAATCCAACTTATTTATGAATATATTATATCCTTAAATTACATAATATAATTTCCCCTGTTATGAAACTAAGCAATTGCACCCAGGGCAGAAAATTAACAAATGGTTAAAATTTGACTTGGCCTGCTACTATTCCTTGTCTATCAAGTCAAATTTTGAACCAGCAGATCTTTGTTAGAATGATGCGTGTTCATCTTCAACTGCCTTGGATGACAAAATCCTATTTTATACACAGATACTCATGTGTCACTATAGGGCTTAACTGAATTAGATATCTTAACTCTCTTAGAACTTAGAATGCTGCTTAATGACTTCCCAGTGAGGCAGAACTTGAAATATTCTGAAACCTTCAAGCAGATGGGCAAGTATTTTGAGAAATCTTCATCACAATTGAAAAGTTACTAGAGATGCCAATAAAAGTCATCACACTTCCCTCTTGGAAACAGTAATATGAGACCTCCCCTTATCAAAGAAAGGTGCTTCACAGGACATAATGAGGCTTTGGGGTATAATTAATCTGTTAGCAAACATGAAAGGAAACTGATCTCTTCCTATGACATTATTTAAAGTATCTGATAGTTTTTAAATGATTCCAACAAATATTTGCAGAAAAGACAAATGAAAGCCTCAAAGAATAACTCACCATGAAGGGTTTGGCTAACACATGGGCTCTATGTAAGGATTTAAGTGGAGGACATGGTTTGCTCACTATGCGTGTGACTAAAGCTAGATGGCTCACATGCCAAAGCAGAATGCAGCTGCTTTGGGAATCATAAGTGAGCATAACCACACATGCAAATGGGAACTACAAAAATAAGTGTAACTTTCAAACCTACACTGGTATTTCCACTTAGGGATAGTGATCAGTCAGGACAACTGGGTAGTAAAAGTTAACCAGTTCTAATATCAACACTGCAGCAATACAATTGACAGAAATGACATAAATATATAATGATTTTAAAGTCCATTTTTCCCTTCCAGCTGGGTGGTAAAAGAGAACTGTCTTCCTTGAACTTAAGGAATTCACAAATTCTGGGGAGATTCAAGAATGATAGTGGAAAAGCTAGGTCCCAGAGTAAAGTAAGGAAATTTTTTACTAAACTGAGCACTTAAAACTGCAAATACCTAATAAGAAAAAATCACAGTTGCCGTAGGAGACATTATACTTGGAATGAAGTGGATAATGCTGAGATCTATAAGAATAAACATTTTAAAGTTCTGAGATATGGGCTGGAGGTGTATCTCAGTGGGAGAGGTCATGATTGAGGACCTGGATTCAATCCTCAACACCATAACACCAGCAGAAAAAGAAAAAAGTTCTGTAATATGTCCTGCACTAATCATTATTGCTAATTAGACTAGACTTTTGCAGTGTTAATGGCTGATGAAGGGACTCAGTAACTGCCATTCCTAACATATTTGAACTATGAACACTTAAATGATATATAAGATGCAATAGTTGTGCTTATTTTTAACCTCCACTTAATGTTGATTAGTATTTAATTAAAACACTTACATATTGCAGCCACTAGCAACAGAATAACATAATGCAGTCCCTCCATCCACATCTTCAATACCTCCTTCAATAAGAAGCTTGGTTATATCTGGTGATTCATACCTCACTGCAAGCATGAGGGCTGTTCTAAAATAATGGAGAAATAACTTTGTTATTAGGTACTTTAAGAGCTAATTTTATGTATCTTTTCAATTTAGTATCTTCCTTTACATATCTTAACAGACATAAGCATCTTGGGGGGTCAGCTCTGCAAATCATCTCTCAGTCTAAATGGACAAGAACAAAGAGGAAACCTCTTGTCCCAATGGGGAATTACAAGTTATAAAAATAAAATCACTTGATGGACAATAACTGAGATGAGGTTATTTATCTGAAGCAAACAAGAGATTTCAATGAAGAATGTTCCATTTCTTCCTCAGTCTGATGTGATATATTATAACTCATAGTCAGCTAAAAGTCAAGCAAACAAAGGCTGTGAGCAGACTTAAAACAACCTCTATAATAATAATAATGGTGATAATCCATCATTATTGCTTCAGTTAATAACAATGAAAACAAGCATTTGGTAAGGATTAAAATCATGCTATATGTATCATCTTAGTACCACCCTTCAAACATGTTTCATTCTTTTTCATATCAGGAAATATATTTAGTGATAAGTAATGTTTCCAAAGTGTCACACTTTGTAACTAGGAAAGCTAGAAATGCAACACAGTCATGTGAGAATTTAAAGCTTATCTTCTTTCTCTTCATCACACACCTATTTTTTCCTTAAAGGAAATGTTTGTGCCATTAAAGCTGTTTTTCTTCCCTCAGCCCTTGCCAATTAGAAATAAAAGCATCAGAGCTGGGGTTGTAGCACATGTGAGGCACTGAGTTCGATCCTCAGCACCACAGGAAAAAAAAATTACATAAAATAAAGCTATTGTGCCCATCTCCAACTAAAAAAAATGTATTTAAAAAAAAGAAAAGCATGTGAATCAAAACTACTCTAAGATTTCATCTCACTCCAGTCAGAAATGGCAGTTATCAAGAAGACAAGCAACAATAAGTGTTGGCAAAGATGTGGAAGAAAGGCACACTCATACATTGATGGTGGGAGTGAAAATTGGAGCAACCAATCTGGACAACAGTATGGATATTCCTTAGAAAACTTGGAATGGAACCACATTTGGACACAGCTATTCCATTCCTCAGCCTATAACCTAAAGACTTCAAACAGTAAACTTAAAACAGTGATGCAGCCACTTCAATGTTTATAGCAACACAATTCACAATTGCTAAACTGTGGAAGCAACTTAGATGCCCTCCAATAGATGAATGGATGAAGAAACTGTGGTACATATATACAACATAATATTACAATTAAAAGAGAATAAAATTATGACTTTTACAGGTAAATGGTTGGAGTTGGATAAAATTATGCTAAACAAAATAAGCCAATTTCAAAAAAGTGGGGGCAAATGTTTTCTCTGATAAATGGATGCTAATCCATATGGGGGAAGCATGGGATGACTGGAGGAAACTTGGATTGGGCAAAGGGGAGGAGTGAGGGAATAAAGGCATAAGAAAGACAGTGGAAAGATTTGGACATCATTACATCCACAATTGCACGAATGGTGTGATCCTACTTCCATGCATAATGAGAGAAGTGAAAAATTCTGCTCCATTTGTGTATAATAAATTGAAGAGCTTTCTACTGCTATGCATAACTAATTAGAATAAAAAATCTTGAAAAAAGGGAAGAATAACATCAAAATATATTAGAAAATGAACAACATCTAGCAACAGCAATTAATGTTCAATTAGGAATAAGTTAATATCAATATTCTTCAAACAAAGCAATTTAGAGCCATCCAAAAGGAAAAGGAAAGATTATCAAAGCCTATTTATGCTCAATATACCATTTTAAGGAAAAGCATAAAAAATGGAAGTTAAAATTCAATACAGAGGTTAAGAAATTCATTATTGAAGCAAAAATGCCAAAATCTATACTTATTTAAAACTTTTGGTCATATATGATCATGTTGTTTTAGTCAGCTTTTTAACAACTATGACTAAAGAACCAAACCAGCACAATTGTAGAAGAGAAAATGTTTATTCAAGTACTCGTGGTGTCATAGGTCTTAGTCCATAGAAGACAGCTCCATTTCCAGGGGCTCAAGGTGAGACTGAGCATCATGGCAAGAGATTATGGCAGAGGGAAGCAGCTCACATCATGGTGATCAGGAAGCAGAGAGAGGTCTGCACTTGCCAGACACAAACATATATACCCTAAAGCCATGCCCCCAATTCCTACCTCCTCCAGCCACACCCTACCACACTTCAGTTACCACTCCCTTAATCAGTTAATCCCTGTCAGGGGAATAATTCACTCATTGGGTTAAGACTCTCACAACCCAATTATTTCTACTCTGAACCTCCTTGCATTGTCTCACAGGTGAGTTTTGGGGAATACCTCATATCCAAACCATAACATATGTGAACAACAAAATCAAATATTTCTACCTAAAACATGGTTTGTGTTCATATTTTTCACTCTAATCCAATATGTATAAATTAATATTCTCCTTCCCATTAATTTAATGTTTGGCCTGAGTGAGTGTTTTTAAAGAATAAATTACTATACCTTCCTCTCATGTCAACCGCATGTATATTTGCTTTCGCCTTAATTAAAAATTCTGCCATATGATGTTTGTTTTCCTTTAGGGCAAGTAAAAGTGGGGTGCAGCCATCCTGGAAAACAACAAGAACAATTTATTAACAGTTTTTTCTTATTTTTCAATTGAACTGAAAATCTTAGACCTCAGGAACATAAACATATACTATATAAAATAAATGAAGAGCAGCCTCTTCCTTCTAGCATCCTGCACTTCACATGAACTGCTCTTTCACCTTACAATGTATTATGTGATTGCCATCACATCCCATCAAAACAAAACACTTCTTTTTTTTTTTTAATTTTTTTTCATGTTTATAACCCATAACCCAGAGCCTGAGTAAAATTTCACAAGGGCATTGAAGACACATAGCTTCTTAAAAAATTTTTCTCCCTTTTTTCTATGTTTTCACCCCAGTAGCTACACTAGAATATATATACTGTCAATAAAAAAACAAAAAAGAAAACAAAAAATAACTCTCCATGCAGCATTTAAAACAATTTCTAGTAATGTTCCAACTTCAGTTATCACCAAGAATCAGTTCTGTTCGTTTCACACAGGGCATTAGCATCAAGGGAAGGAGATGGGCAAAGACAGTCCATGCTGGCAGTGGCAGTCCATGCAGTGTCCACTGCAGTGAGGACCCAGACCTTGTACCAGCTTCAGGCCTTGGTCATACCACAGGACTTGGGCTCCAAATGTCCTCTGGGTTACTGGCATCTCTGCCTCCTAAAAGCAGCCTGGCAGGTGGGAACCAGCAGTGCTATAGCTTGAGCTCTCGCTCCGGCTTCATGCTGAAGGGCTCTAGCCGCTCGCTCTCAGGCAGCATTCTGTTGAGCCTTTCCATCAGCGGCACCGTCTGGTCGATGCCCATCTGTATGCGGCGGAGGATGGCAGACATTTCGTTGACTTTCTGGAGCTGCTCAGCATATTTCGCATATCTTTTCTGGCGTTCCTGCATGAAGCTAAAGAGGGTTTCTACAGACAGATCCATCTCTTTGATTCGTTTAACCAAAGCATTCTGATCAAAAGCAACAGCTTCTGCACACTGGTGCAGGTGATCCTGACATCGGAGGCACAGCTGCAACACCTGCTGAGAATCCAGTTTCTCCAATTTGGTATTTGTTGGGGAAGTCTGGCCACTCAATAGCCCTGAGGAGTTCAGATCGTTGGGTCGGCTCTCGGCCTCGGAGCTCTGCTCACTGCCCATGGTGCCAGCAGCGGTGGCAGCGGAAGAACGGCGGGCGGGGCAGTGACCGCTCCGGCGACAGGGCAGGGACTGGGGACCGGGACGGGGACGCTAGACAGTGTGGGCGCCGCGGTGAGGCCGGAAAGATGCGCCCAGTCCGCGCAGGGACCGGGGCGGCCGGGATAAGGGGCCCTATTTCGGGGACAGACGTGCGAAGAGGCGCGGCGCGGATACCCGCTGCTCGCCCTCTTTCCTTCCGAGAGCCCTAAATGAAGAGGCCGGGGACAACAGCATTGCCGCGTCTGCGACCGGCGGGCGGCGCCGCTTTCACTCACTGGCTCGAACCCCGCAGCTCGCTCCTTCCGGGACGCGGATTGGCGGCTCCAGCCCAAAACAAAACACTTCTTGAGGATAATGACTGTATCTTTTTTTTTTCAATGACCCCATTCCTAAAGTGCAGTAGTAAAAGGTCTTAAGAATCCTATTGAATTAATGAGCTAAACTTTTATCTCTAGAGTTGGTCATAACAATCAATATTCCAAAGAATTTCCAGTTTTACAGAAATACCAAGCTTCATCAAAAAATTTCATTGATTAACTATCAGAGAAATGCCACAGAATTGTGCCTTATGCATCCATTATTAAGGAAATATCTGTACCATTGCTAACACCAAATTGACAACACTTTTTCCTGGCAGACATTCACTTATGGAGTATTAAAGATACAGGGGTACAAGTTCTGAGAGGTATCCAATAACATGGGAGGTACCTCCATGCTTCACAAACCCTGTTGTCTCTCTTCTATATAGTTCAAGATCCTAGAAAACAACATAAGACACTCCCACTCCACTAGAAAAATATGGTCTTGAATTAAAAGAGAAGCTTCAAAAAAGTAGGCCCAAATCTCCATCATGTCGGATTAGGCCCCAACTTCCTTAATAAGACTCCTATAAGCTCAAGAATTAAAACCAAGAATCAATAAATGGGATGGAATCAAACTAAAATTTTTCTTATCAAAAGAAACAATCAGGGGCTGGGGATATGGCTCAAGTGGTAGCGCGCTCGCCTGGCATGCTTGCGGCCCGGGTTCGATCCTCAGCACCACATACAAACAAAGATGTTGTGTCTGCCGAAAAAACTAAAAAATAAATATTAAAATAAAAAAAAAATTTAAAAAAAGAAACAATCAGTGTAGTGAATATAGAGCCTACAGAATGGGAACAAATCTTTACCAAAAGCACTAATCTCTAGGATATATAAAGCACTCAAAAACCTCAATACCAAAAAAAAAAAAAAAAAAAAAATCCCAAATAACCCAATCAATAAATGGGCCAAGGAACTGAACAGATATTTCTCAGAAGAGGATATACAATCAATCAACAAATATATGAAAAAATGTTCACCATCTTTAGCAATTAGAGAAATGCAAATCAGAAATACTCTAAGATTTCATCTCATTCCTGTCAGAATGGCAATTATCAAGAAGACAAGCAACAATAAGTGTTGGCGAGCATGTGGGGGAAAAGGCACACTTATACATAGTTGGAGGGACTGCAAATTGGTGTAGCCAATTTGGAAAGAGGTATGGAGATTACTTTTAAAATTTGGAATGGAACCATCATTTGACCCAGCTATCCCACTCCTTTGGTTTATACCCAAAGGACATAAAACCAGCATCCTATAGTTATTCAGCCACATTAGTGCTTATAGCAGCATAATTAACAATACCTAAATTGTAGAACCAATCCACATGCCCTTCAGTAGATGAATGGATAGGGAAACTTTGATATGTATACACAATGGAATATTATTCAGTATTAAAAGAGAATAAAATATGGAATTTGTAAAAATGAGTTGGCGTTGGAGAGTATAATGCTAAGTGAGCCAAGCCCCAAAAAACAAAGGCTGAATGTTTTCTTTGATATGAGGATGCTGACTCATCATGGTGATGGTGGGGGAAAAATGGGAGGAATGGAGGAACATTAGATAAGGCAAAGGGGAGGGAAAGGAAGGAAGGGGGCATGGGTGTAGGAAAGACAGTGGAATGAGTTAGACATCATTACCCTAAGTACATGTATGAAGACACTAATGGTATGAAAATACTTTGGTTACAACCAGAGACTTTGAAAAAATGTGCTCTATATGTGTAATATGAAATGAATTTCATCCTGCTGTCATATACAACAAATTAGAATACATAAATAATTCAATAAAAAAGAGAGGCTTCAAATGAACTTTGATTCATTTGGTACCTGTGTTTTCTCCTATTATAAGATCAAAGATATTAATCTTACACTTTAGAAAGTTAATACAAAATGTATTCATAATAATCATCCTGGGACCATACTGCACATCCACATTACCAAATTTCTTTTTTCATTCTAGTTCCATTTGAATTGCTACTTAAAGCTATTTATAATTTTAGACAAAATGCAATTCAGAAATGTTGTGTATCAACAAAAGTTTTATACTGATCTACATGAATTATTTTTAGCATCATAAAAGACCAACGCACCCACATGCTTAAGAGACAAAGCTGAAGACAAAGATGTAATACTGCTTGCACAATGTGTATGCTATCCACCTCTAACTATGAGCAACCTAATGAAGCTTATAGAAATTCTAATGGAAATATGCATCTTACATATAAGTAAAAGTTTTGAAAAACATCAGTTTATAAATTCTTAAATTCAATTCCATTTGAAAGAGATTAATACATTCCATAAGCCAATTCTTATAAATAGATACTACCATGAAAATCATGAAATTTTAAACAAAATATAATACGAAATAGGAGTCATAAAACTTTTTTATAGGGCAAAGTATGGGCCCTATAAGTTCCAAGTGAATGAATGCTGTAGGTTGCCAGCACAAACTGGGGAACACCCATGCCTGGTATGAAGGGGGCACCCTGAGCACAGTGCACCCAGTAACATGGGCTCAAAGGAGATCTCATGTGGTTCTTCAAGAGAGCTTGAACTCCATATTTCCACACAACTCTCCTGAATTTTAAATGTGGAGTCGATTTATATATACTTATATTAGCTAAATATATCCATAAGATAAATAAAGTTCCAACATTTTCTACTCTTCTAATCATGAAAACCCTGCTTATGAACAACATTTGTTGACTTATATCACTGTCAAAACAAATGTATTTCAAATATTTGGGAAATAAAGATGGGGGATGTATACCTTGTTTTGGGCTTCAATATTTGCCTTATGTAAAAGCAGTTTTGCTGCAACTGATGTGTTGTTAGTACAGACAGCATGGTGGAGAGGAGTTCCACCATTGGTATCCTGGGCATTTACATCGGCACCATTTTCTAGAAGAATAGTTGCACATTCTTCTTCTTGCTGTTGGATGGCCTGTTGGTTTGTTACCAAGAAATAGATTGTCAATTCCAAGAATTCAACACAAATATTCCATAGGATTTACTAATTATATTTAAATGATATTAATCAATTTTTATTCTAAGTATGTAAATATAGTTCATCCCTCACAGAAATACTTTGCTACACCTACCTTAATCAGAGGTGTGTTGTTGTCACTGTCACAGAGGTGAATGTTGCATTTGTTCTTTACTAGAAAAGCCACCACTTCTGCCTGGCCATAGGCACATGCATAATGTAGAGGGGTCCTACAAAAGTAAGATTTTTTTAGGAGGTCATAGAGCTCCCACTTAAAACAGACAATTATTTAAAACAGACAATTATTCATGCCATTGTGAATATTAGATAGCATATAATTCCTTTCCCTTGAAAATAATTTCTTCAGAAGAAACAACAATATTTACTAGCTGTTATTACTAAATAAATGAAAGATCAACTCATTCTAGCTGCCTGTTCCACTGACTTCTTTCCTTCCCCCTCCATCCCCCCTGCTAAGGATCAAACTGAAGGGCACTCAACACTGAGCCATATCCAGAGCCCTTTTGATTTTTCATTTTCTGCTATGGTCTCACTAAGTTGCCCAGGCTCATCTTGAACTTGCAATATTTCTGCCTCACCTTCCCTCCCAAATCACTGGGATTACAAGTATGCACCATTGCTTCTGACACCAGTGAATCTTGATTTTGGT